CCTGATTGGTTTCCACAGTCCACTTTATTTCCTTTCTCAAAGACCGTGATGATTTCAGCATCCCTGAGGTCACCAGGAATTTCTTCTTGGTCCCAGATTTTCATGGTACAGTTTAATGGAGAAGACAGGTAAACTCTGATACTCTAAGTTTGAAAATTTCCACTGGAATTTCATCCATTCTTGCAGCTTTCCCATTCTTCATGAATTTAATGGAGATTTCAACTTCTGCCACACTATGTGGGAGTTCAAAATGATCATTGATTGGGAATTAGGGGATTTCCTTAGACACATCCTCATCATTGATTGTATTACGGCTTAGGAGTTTTTTGAAGTGTTCTATCCACCAGAAGATGATGTTTCTCTGTCTGTCTTTGTATTGAAGTGGTTTGAGGCCAAGGGTATTCGGTCCATATAAAGCCTTGATGGCACAAAGAAGAAACTCCAGGTATCTTACTTGTCAGCAAGTAGTTACAGATTTCCCAGTCCCCCATTGGTTCTTGATTTCCTTCGTTCTCCTTTCTAACTCCAGCTTTCCCATTTAATGAGTTCTTCTGGTTGAATTGAGAGTAATGTTGTTTTGCTTGGCACAGAGAGCTTTCTTTTTCTTGTCAGTATAGTCTTGGATGATGTGGTCATTCTCACCGAACCAGTTTTGTTTTTTCTGGTTTTGTATCTGATGGTTTCTTCACAGCCTGAGATGATGGCTCTCACAGCTCTTTTCAGGCTTCCTCCACTCCATTAAAATTAATCTTTGGAGATTTTTTACAATCGTTTTCTTATACACATGTACTCAGGGTTGAACTGTTCTTTACCAGCACAACACAAGTTCATAGTAATTTGATTGCCTGAATTCTACTCCACCTGTCTTTTCCATTGTCCTCACAGTGTTTGGGAAAATGGGAGTCTCGGAAGAGGAAAGAAAGTAGCCACAGTCTGCTTCTGGTCACTATCCAGTGTCCCTGCTGGAAACAGAGGGTATGTCACAATGGAGTCAGGAAAAAGAAAGGACTTACATCTGAATCCCCCAGCCGAGCAGACTAACACTCGCTGTGGAAAAAGTCTCTAACTGGGGAGTCAGCCCCTTCAGTGAAAGAAGAGATGGAGATGGAGAAAATCATGTTTCCTCTTCCTGTTTTACAGAAGATTTGCACTGTCAATGTGCAATTCAGTCATGTTTGAGGAGATGGCCTGTCCCTCCCTCTTTCACACATAGGACAAGACAGTATGCTCCTCTTTTAATCCACCCTATTCATTTGTCAATTCAAGCCTGGATAAGAATTATGAATCATGTCGAAGATTGTAAAATTATTGGCAAACATTTCACTTCTGATCTTATCATCATGATGAAGATGGTTTGACCTCACACAGGACCCTGAAGAACTCCTGCAGAGATGTCCTATATCTGAGATGTTTGACTTCCAAAAACCACAACCATCCTCCTCTGCGTCAAGTATGAGTGAAACAAAGAATATTCCACTTGATCCCCACTGACTCTAGTTTTGCTTGGGCTCCTTGATGCCACACTTGGTTAAATGCAGCCAGGACAAGGGCAGTCACTCTCACCTCACCTTTGGAATTCAGCTCCTTTATCCATGGTTGAACCAAACTACAAGTCTTCATCCCACTGGATTCGGAGATCAACAGGAGATGTTTGTTAGTCAGACTTGCACAGAAAGCAGGGAAAATACTATGTTTATTGTTCACCACTTGCATAGGAACTAGGAGTGGGAGCAGGCAATTCAGACCTTTGAGCCCACTCTGCTATTAAACAAATCATGGCTGATCTTATCCTGATCTTGACTCCAATTTTCTGCCTGCTTTATTCTGCTTTTTTAAATGAAACGTATCTCCTGTTTTCTTGAACTGCACTCTAGCACAGTAAGTTCCACAGATTTACAACCAACTGAAAGAAGTAATTTCTCCTCATCACAGTTTTAACCTACCTCCTGTCAATCTATATCTGTGTCAGCTTAGTTGATACTGTCCCACAGGGGGGACATCTTTCTAACATCCACCTTATCAATGCCCTTTCACATTTTATATGCCTCAATCAGATCGCCCCTCATTCTTCTGAACTCTAGCAAGTATAAACTCAAGCTATTCCACCACTTCTCATATGACAATGTTTTGATCCCTGGAAACAACCTCACGAACCTCGTCTGAACTGCCTCTAGGGCAATCACATCCTTCCTCAAATAAGAAGACCAAAACTGGACACAATACACTAAATGTGCTCTCACCAATGCCTTGTATAAATTTAACAACACTTTATAATCCAGTCTTTTAGCAATAAAAGCCAGGATTCCATGTCTTTCTTATTATATGCTGCACATGCATACCTACACTCTGCGATACATGCACAAAGACACCCAGATCCTTCTGCTTTGATGCACTTTGAATCTGCTTGCCATTTAATCACTAATTTTCCCATCTATTTTTCCAGCCAAAATTGACCTCCTTGCACGAATCCACATTGAACTCTATCTGCCAAGTTCTGGCCCATTCCCTTAGCCTATCAATATCCATCTGTAAAATCTTTATCTGCTCCTCACAGACTGCTTTCCTGCCTATTTTAGTAACATAGTGAATTCTGCTCTGTTACACTCTGTCCCAGTTTGTAGATCATTTATATAGATTTGAAATAGTTGAGGTTTGAGAAGTGAAGCCTGTGCCAGCCACCAGTTACAGTTCCCCACCCAGAGAACATAGAACATAGAACAGTACAGTACAGTACAGGCCCTTCAGCCCATGATGTTGTGCCAAACTTTTATCCTAATCCTAAGGTCTATCTAACTTCCACCCCTACATTATACTATTATCCATATGCCTATCTAATAGCCGCTTAAATGTCCCTAATGAGGCCAACTCCACTACCCTCTCCGGCAATGCATTCCACGCCCTGACCACTCTCTGAGTAAAGAACCTACCTCTGACGTCTACCCTATATCTACCTCCACTCACTTTAAAACTATGCCCCCTCACAATAGCTACCTCCACTCCAGGAAAAAGTCTCTGGCTGTCCACTCTGATCATTTTGTACACCTCTATCAAGTCACCTCTCATCCTTCGTCGCTCTAAAGAGAAAAGCCCTAGCTCTCTCAACCTTTCCTCGTAAGACGTTCCATCCATTCCAGGCAACATGCTGGTAAATCTCCTCTGCACCTTTTCCAACGCTTCCACATCTTTCGTAATGAGGTGACCAGAACTGGACACAATACTCCAGATGTGGCTGAACCAGGCTTTTGTATAGCTGGAGCATAACTTCACGGCTCTTGAACTCAATCCCTCTATTAATGAAAGCTAACACACCATACACCATAAGGACCCATTTATTCCGATCTTCTGCTTTCTGTCTGTCAGTCAATCCTCTATCCAAGCCAATACTCTACCCTTAACCCCTTGGGGTCTAACACTTGAAATCAAGGTGAAGTTCAAGCTCAGTTAGGCTAATGTAATGGAATAGCAACTGGAGGATTTACCTCGTTTGAAGCAAGTGGTCCTCAGAGAGCTTTGTGGCAGGAAACAGTCAGCAGAACTAGCTTGAAAGTTGTGAGAAGGCAACCTGGACATGAAGCTGAGACATTCAAAGTCCTGAAGTATTAAAAAAAAGTTGGAGTGCCACATAGCGATAACACTCATCAAAGAATTCCCAGAAAAGTATGAACTTGGATAATAGCCAGAATACTGAGGAGAATTAAAGTGAATGCTAGAGGTTTGTGGCATTTCTTTTGGGTGGTCTCTAAACAAATGAATACTTTGAAGATTCTTGTAATGCATTGGGAATTGATAAGGAAGAACTAGAACTCTTTGTAGTAGTTATAAAATATAGTACATATATATTGTGTGCTGTCTTTACTGTTTCAGGTAGTATTGCTTGACCTTGTTTAAGAAGTGTGGAATATTTTGGTGTCAATCTGTCAGTTAATCCTGGAATGTTGGGATTTCTGTCTAAGCATTAATGACCTCAACAGGATCAAAACACAGTGATAATGACTGATAATGTTCTCACAAGAGTGACAACACATTCAAAAGAGCTTCCTTCACTGGAAATTGAGTTCACATGGCACATATACATGCAAGTTAACTTAAAAATACAATATGTTTTTTTTTGCTTAGGGAAACATTCGACTCCATACAAACTGGTAATGATACAACACTGATTTTAAAAAAAAAAACACGCACTAGGCCACTGTGACAATGGCCAATATATTCTGTTTAGGACATCTGAGTATTTCAATGAACAACAACAGACAATGCTGATAAATCACTTTGTTTGAGTGAAACAAAAATTAAATTTATGATGAGATACAAATCCATAAAGAAGATTTGAAACACAGCAGGCAAAAACAACACTGATCTCACTCAAAACTTTGAATGAACCAAAACAACAAAACATTTTTCAATGACTGAAGATTTTTTTTTCCCAGAACAGGAAATGAATTTTCGATGACTCTAACACGCATAGGCAACTAAAGCACAATCCAAGCCCGACTGATAATCTTAGATTTGTTTCCAGTGTAATTCCTAGCACAGTCTGCATCATTTGGTCATATGTTGTCTTAAGTCTTAACTTGGCTAATAGCTGGAACACTTAGGAGAATTAAAGTGAATGCTAAAGGGTTGGGGCATACCTTTGGGATGATCTCCAAACAAGTGAATATTTTTGAAGATTCTTGTGTTACATAGGGAACTGATGAATCAAAAGTAGAAAGAGACCTTGGAGTGCAGGTTCATAGTTCCTTGAAGGTGGAGTCACAGATAGACACGGTATCAAGAAGGCATTTGGAACACTTGATTTTATTTGTCACTGTGTCAAGAAAAGAGTTAGAATGACATGTTTTGGCTGTACAGGACGTTGGTTAGGCCTCTTTTAAATTACTACATTTAATTCTGGTCTCCCTTCTATAGGAAAGATGATGTTAAATTTTGAAAGGATGCAGAAAAGATTTACAAAGATGTTCCCAGGGTTGGAGGGTTTGACCTGTAGGGAGAAGCTGAATTATCTGGGTCTATTTTCCCTAGAGTATTGAAGGTTGATGGGTGACCTTACAGAGGTTTATAAAATGATGAGGGGCATGGATATGGTGAATAGCTAATGTCTTTTTACCCAGAGTAAGAGAGTCCAGAACAAGAGTGCATAGGTTAAGGTGAGAGAGGAAAGATGTAAAAGGGACCTAAAAGAGGGTGGTGTGTGTATGCAATGAGCTTCCACAGGAAGTTGAAGGCTGGTATAATTACAACATTTAAAAGCCACCTGGACAGGTATGTGAATGGGAAGGGGTTAGAGGGATATGGACAAACGCTGGCATATGAGGCTAGATGAATTTTTGCACATCTTGAACGCCCATGTGAAGCTTTTTATGAACAGCCTTCTTTATTCTCTGCAGTCCAAATTGCTGCAGTCAAACTCTCACTGCTGTAGTTTGTGGAGGGCTCAAATGGCACAGCTCAAATGGCATTGACTCCTTGTCAATGACAGACTATTAAGAGTGGCTGTCAAGATCTGACAAGTGCACAACATATTCCAGAGTCTCTACTTCAATGTATATGGGAGGTGGAATATTTGGCTCAGAGATGTGGGTTGGTGAGGTTTATTTTAGCCTTATTCAAAGACAGCCAAGTTTCTTGCATGGAGACTTGAAGAGAATGAGAATGGCTGCAAATTTTTCAGAGAGTGGGCAACAATACAGCAGTCATCTACAAATTGTAGATTATGTGTATATATGTGATCAGTTTAGACACAGAGAAACCTGAGGTAAATGAGTTTCTTATCAAGATGTTATTTAATACTGATACCAGAGGATCACTGATCGTTGAGGAGGTAAATAGTGACTGTTAGGATGACTGTAAATAGAATGGGAGCTATCACACAGCCTTGCTTGATACCAGTCTGGATTTCATCAACTTCTGTTTCAAATCTCCCACTCAAGAGAGTTACAGTCATGAAGCAATTGCAGGATTGGGATGAAGTTCTTGGACATCCAAACCATGAAAGCACAATCCACAGTGCTTTCTGATTTACTCAGTCAAATGTTTGGTGAAATTGAATTTGCTTTATTGTTGCATATACTCAAATGAGTACAGTGAAAAGTCCATATGTTGCTACTTGCAGTTGCAAAATCTTAGAAAATAGGGAAATAAAATGTCCAGGATTACAGAAAAAAAACGTCCAGAACAGCAGTCTTCCAAGCCATACCAAGCTGGCACCAAACATCCAGTCTGCCCTGGCTCCTGACCACATCGAGCTTCACCTTGAAGGGCATGAGGCTGGGAGATTGCTCTTGTATTGCCTCAAGACTGGGAGACCACATTGAGGCCATGCCAGGCCAAGAGGACACCACACGGAGGGCTGCCCCACCAGGAGGCTGCCATGGGAGGTTGCTACACCATGCCAGGAGGCTTGCCATGCTGGGAGGCCTTCAGCTCATGACCAATCTGCAAAATGTTCACACATCTAAATCAATTCCCAAACTGTAGGGTTGAAATAAAGCTGTACTAAACTCCACTGCCCAGGTCATCTGGTTTGAGCATCGTCGTCACCAGGATTGGCTCAGTGAACATGATGCTCAAATGTGTGGCCTCCTGGAACAAAAGCAATCAGCCTTCATTGCAGTCAGAACAACCCAAGGTCACAACTCAACAAGGCAGCATTTCAACAGTTCAAGGCTGACACCCAAAGATAAATCCAGAAGGTAAAGGACATGTTGGGAAAGAACAGCCTGAGATATCCAACAATATGGTGATCACTATGATGTACAAATCGTTTTTGAAGTTACCACAGCCATCTGTAGCCTGACAGAATCCCCTTCCTTCACAGGATGACAATGACATCTGTTAATGCTGGAGAGATCATTTTGAACAACTTGTCAACCATAAATCCATAGGGACAGGTTATACCCTCCAATCTATCACAAAGTGCCCTGTGATAGAATCCAGGGGTAAGTCACTATCGATGGGAGAGCTGCACCAACCAAGCAAACAGATGAGAAACAAAGCCTGAAACCCAGTGTTATTCCAGATCAGCGTGACAAAGCTGGTCAATGTTTGTTCATATCAAGACTCCATGAACTCATCCTATGTATATGGCAGGAAAAAAAGGACTTCCCTGACTTTCTGAAATCAGAAATGTGGTAATTAATTCAGCTGAAAAAAAAAGTGGGATAACTTACAATGTGGAAACTATAGATGTACTTCTCTCTTGATCATAGCAAGAAAATCCTGACACACATTCCCCAGTATTAGCAACCATCTTTGACTGAGAAAATTCTCCCACAATGTGACATTTGTGCATAAGCAGGAGTTTCTATATACATATTCATGTCTTCATTTAGTGATGTTTGGTGATCTGGTCAAAGGTTAAACCGAAATCCTTGACCCAATTGGATTGATGGTCGGAGAGGTTTGAGGCAGTCACTGCTGAGACAGGCAGTACTGTAAGAATGACAAATCTCTTGTTTGAACACTAGATAGGAAACAACAGTCAATTCTCAGTGCAACAGAAGGAGATTATCTGGATCCAAGACAGTGTGAAGACATCCTCTGTGAGACAGGAAGAGGAGGTGGTACAATCCAGGCACACGTCACACTAGAAGGATTTGATGTCCGCGTGGGTTCACTCATGTTCCAGGCCAAGTGTATGAAGGCTTTACACAGAATTCAGACCAATAGAGATTCTTTTAAATGTTTTGATGGATCAGGAGATACAGTGACTATATAAAAGCCTTGTCATACACCACATACCTGAATTGTTTGTCACCAGTCAGGGTTCTCTGAAGCTCAGGTTGGAGATGTCGGTGAAAGCTTTGTCAAACAATCACACCTGAAGAGACTGTTACCTTCTGATTCCTCTCATGTCCCAGTAGGTTTGAAGAAGTCACAAAACTTTTATTGCAAACCTCCCAACTGAATATTTCCACACTTTGTGATTCCTCTGATGGAGCAGGGGTTTTGAATAACAGTTTATTACCCACCTCATACATAAACAATTTCTCTCCTGTGTGAGTTTGTTGGTGTTTCTGAAGCTTGGATGACTCTGAGAATGATTTGTTGCATTCCTTGCACCTGTAAGGTTTTACCCATGTGTGAATTTGTTGATGTCTATGGAAGTGCGATGAATCTGAGAATGATTTTTCACAAACTTTGCATGTGAATGGTTTCTCCTTTGTATGAATGCGTTGGTGTCTGCGGAAGTGTGATGAATCTGAGAATGATTTTTCACAAACCTTGCATGTGAATGGTTTCTCCCCTGTATGAATGCGTTGGTGTCTGCGGAAGTTCGATGAACGTGAGAATGATTTGTCACACACCTCACATGTGAATGGTTTCTCCCCTGTGTGAATGCGTTGGTGTGTTTGAAGCTTTGATGACTCTGAGAATGATTTGTTGCATTCCTTGCACCTGTAAGGTTTTACCCCTGTGTGAGTTTGTTGATGTCTGCGGAAGTTCGATGAACGTGAGAATGATTTTTCACAAACCTTGCATGTGAATGGTTTCTCCCCTGTGTGAGTGCATTGGTGATTACGGAGATCTGCTGACCATGAGAATGATTTGTCACACAGCTGACATGTGAATGCTTTTGCCCCTTCGTGAATTGCCCGATGTTTTACTGAGCCCGATAATTGTATAAATGTCTTGTTACATGCCTCACCTGTGAACATTTTCTCGCCAGTGTCATTGTGTCCGAAATTCACGAGCATAGATGACATCGCAAACACTTCACACTTGAATGGTTTCTCCCCTGTGTGAATTTGCTGGTGTCTCAGGAGGTCTGATGTCTCTGAGAATGTTTTATTACACACTGTGCACATGAATGGTTTCTCCCCTGTGTGGATTTGTTGGTGTTTTTGAAGCTTTGTTGAGTCTGAGAATGACTTGTTGCATTCCTTGCACTTGTACGGTTTCTCCCCAGTGTGAATTTGTTGGTGTCTGAGGAGGTCCGATGACTGTGAGAATGTTTTATTACACACCATGCACATGAATGGTTTCTCCCCTGTGTGAATTCGTTGGTGTCTTCGCAGCTTCGATGAGTGTGAGAATGTTTTTTCACACATCTCACACATGAGTTGTGTCTCCCCTGTGTGAATCCTCTGGGGGAGCAAGAATCTTGATGAGTCAGAGAGTGATTTGTTACACAACTCACGCGTGAATGTTTTTTCCCTTGTGTGAGTGCGTTGGTGTCTGCGGAAGTGTGATACATCTGAGAATGATTTTTCACAAACTTTGCACGTGAATGGTTTCTCCCCTGTGTGAACGCGTTGGTGTCTGCGGAGGTGCGATGAATCTGAGAATGATTTTTCACAAACCTTGCATGTGAACGGCTTCTCCCCCATATGAATCCTCTGGTGGAGCAAGAGTCTTGTTGAGTCAGAGAGTGTTTTGTTGCACAGCTCATGCATGAATGTTTTTTCCCTTGTGTGAGTGCGCTGATGTCTGTGGAAGTGTGATAAATCTGAGAATGATTTTTCACAAACCTTGCATGTGAATGGCTTCTCCCCTGTGTGAATGTGTTGGTGTCTGTGAAAGGTTTCTGACTCCAAGAATGTTTTTTCACACACCTCACACATGAAAGGTTTCTCTCCTGTGTGAATTTTTTGGTGTTTACGTAAGTTCCATGAACGTGAGAATGATTTGTCACACACCTCACATGTAAATGGTTTCTCCCCTGTGTGAATTCGTTGGTGTATGCGGAGCTTTGATGACTGTGAGAAGGTTTTTTCACACATCTCACACATGAATGGTTTCTCCCCTGTGTGAATTCGTTGGTGTATGCGGAGGGTTGATGAGTCTGAGAATGATGCGTCACACACCTCACATGTGAATGGTTTCTCCCCGGTGTGAATTCGTTGGTGTCTTTGCAACTTTGATGACTCCGAGAATGTTTTGTCACACACCTCGCACATGAATGGTTTCTCCCCCGTGTGAATCCTCTGGTGGACCAAGAGTTTGGATGAGTCACAAAATGATTTGTCGCACCACTCACACACAAATGGTTTCTCCCCTGTGTGAATGCGTTGGTGTCTTTGAAGCATTGATGACTCTGAGAATGATTTGTTACATTCATTGCAACTGTAAGGTTTAATCCCTGTGTGAATTTGTTGGTGTCTGCGGAAGTTTGATGAATGTGAGAATGATTTGTCACACACCTCACATGTGAATGGTTTCTCCCCTGTGTGAATTCGTTGGTGTGTTTGAAGCTTTGATGACTCTGAGAATGATTTGTTGCATTCCTTGCACCTGTAAGGTTTCTCCCCTGTGTGAATGCGTTGGTGTCTGAGGAGATTTGATGACTGCAAGAATGTTTTATTACACACTGTGCACACGAATGATTTCTCCCCTGTGTGGATCCTCTGGTGGAGCAAGAGTCTTGAAAAGTCAGAGAATGATTTGTCCCACAGGTCATGCGTTAAAGATTTTTCCCTCGTGTGAGCGTGTTGGTGTTTGCGGAAGTGCGATGAATCTGAGAATGATTGTTCACAAACCTTGCATTTGAATGGTTTCTCCCCTGTGTGAATGCGTTGGTGTCTGCGGACATGTGATGAATCTGAGAATGATTTTTCACAAATCTTGCACGTGAATGGTTTCTCCCCTGTGTGAATGCGTTGGTGTCTGCGGAAGTGTGACGAACCTGAGAATGATTTTTCACAAACACCGCATATGAATGGTTTCTCCACTGTGTGAATTCGTTGATGTGTTTGAAGCTTTGATGACTCTGAGAATGATTTGTTGCATTCCTTACACCTGTAAGGTTTTAGCCTTGTGTGAATGCGTTGGTGTCTGCGGAAGTTCGATGAACGTGAGAATGATTTTTCACAAACCTTGCATGTGAATGGTTTCTCCCCTGTGTGAATGCGTTGGTGTTTACGGAGATCTGCTGACCGTGAGAACGATTTGTCACACACCTGACATGTGAATACTTTTGCCCCCTTGTGAATTGCTCGATGTTTTACTGAGCCCAATGATTGTACAACCTCCTTGTTACGTGCCTCACCTGTGAACATTTTCTCTCCATTGTCACTGTGTCGGAGATTCATGAGCATAGATGACATTGCAACACTTCACCCTTGAAAGGTTTCTCTCCAGATCACTTTCCTTCTGTTAACAATTTTGCAACAATTCCACTTTGTGTGTTAGGAGATCATATGAACTTCCTTCCAAACTTCACACTTGAGCAGCTGTAACCTGCAGGACTGAGTCTGTGGTCCATGAGGATTGATAAATGATTGAAGCTCTCACCACACTTTAAGCAACTCACACTTCTTCCCAGCCTCGTCCAAATTCTCACCTCCGAGTCATCAGAAAGTTTGGTGCTAATGGAAGGCTCCACACCACTGACCAGTTTCAGATCTGATGATATGTCAAAGCTCCTCTGACCTGAGCGATGGTTTCACTGCTCAGCCTGCTCTGTGTTGAACACAGCTGTGAAGGGATTGGATGTCTTCCCACAGCTGTGCAGTTGTTCTTTGGGTGATCTTCAGGATCTATCTACGATATCTATCCTCTCTATACTGCCTGGTGCTGCACAATGCAATCCTTCTGTAAAACAGGAAATAGAAACATGATTTTTTTTTCCCAATTCCCTCTACCTAGTTGTTGAAGGTGTGGACTCCTCAGTTCTTTCTTATTATCTATTCATAGGGTCTGAGTGTCACTGCTTAGGCCAGCATTTCTTGCCCATCTGTTACTGTCCTGGAGAAGGTAGTGGCAATGATCTGCCTTCTTGAACTGCTGGAGTCCATGTTATGTAGGGATACCCAAGGTGCTGTTATGGAGTGAGTTCCAGGAATTTGACCCAGAGACACTGAAGCAGCAGTGATATATTTCCAAGTCAGGATGATGTGTGGTTGCTCTCATCCATGCAGTGGAGAATATTATATCAGACCCCTGACTTATAGAGTCATAATCATTCAGCACAGAAGCAGACCCTTCAGTCCAACAAGTCTACGCCAACCAAGTCTCTCAAACTAAACTAGTCTCACATGCTTGTGTTGCCCAATTCCCCTGCAATGCTTTCCTATTTGTCTATCTATTCAAATGTCTTTTTAATGTTGTAACTGTACCTTCATCTATCACTTCCACTGTCAGTTCATTTCACAAACCACCCTATATGTGAAATTGCCCCTCAGGTCGCTTTTAAATCTTTCTCCTCTCACACCACAATCATGCCCCTAGTTATGAACTCCATCCACCACCCCCACCTCGCCCCAGGAAAAGCCCTTCACAATTTAACTTATTTCTGCATCTCATGATTTTATAAACCTTTATATGGTCACCCCTCAACCTCTGACACTCCAGTGAAAATGTCCCAGCATATCTAGCCTATCCTTATCACTCAAAACCCCCAAGTCCCGGCAATATCCTGGTAAATCTTTTCTGATCACTCTCTAATAACATTTTTCCCGTGACAGGGTGACCAGAATTGATACATAGTCCTTCAAAAGTAGTGTCACCAACATCTTGCACAATCTCAAAATGACGTCCCACTACCTATATTCAATGGTCTGAACAATGGAGGGAATCATACTAAATATCTTCTTAACCACCCTGTCCACCTGTGATACAAACTTCAAACAACTGTGTCTCTGAAAAGCCCCTAGGTCTCTGATTGAAAACACCACCCAGGGCTCTACTATTAACTGTATTAGTCCTGCGCTTGTTTGTTTTACCAAAATGGAATACCTCGCATTTATCCAAATTAAACTCCAACTGCCAGTCCTCAGCTCATTGGTCCAATTTTTCAAGGACTCCTTGTAATCTTAGACAACCTTCTTCCCTGTCTACTTCCCCACCAACTCTAGTGTCATCCTTACTAACCATGCAAGCTTACTAACTATGGTTCCTAAATTTTCATTCAAAATGTTTAAACAAATGACAAACAAAAGTGGACCCAGCACTGATCCCTGTGGAACACCACTGATCACAGGGCTTCAATCTGAAAAACAACCGTCCACCACCACCCTCTGTCTCCTACTGTAAAGCCAAATTTGTATCCAATTAGGAAGATCTCCCCAAATCGCACGTGATCTAACTTTACGAAATTATTCTACCATGTGGAACCTTGTTGAAAGCTTTAAAAAAATCCACGTATACAATGTCTACTGTGCCCTCATCAATCTTTTCGGTTATGTCCTCAGAAAACACAACTAAGTTTGTGAGACACGATTCCCAGGCACAAAGCAATTCTGACTTATCCATTATCAGCCCTTGCCTCTACAAATTCATGTAAATACTATTTCTCAGAGTTCCCTCCAGCAACTTACCCACCATTGATGTCAGACTCACAGGTCTATAGTTCCCAGGCTTCTCCTCACAGTGGCCAACCTCCAATCGTCTGGAACTTCACCCGTGACTGTATATGATACATTATCTCTAACTTCTTACAGCGTCCTTGGATACACTTGGTCAGGTCCAGGAGATTTATCCACCTTCATGTTTTTTAAGATCTCTGGCACTTCTGTAATGGGGACTGTTTTCAAGACATCAATATTTATTTCCCCGAGTTCCCTCGCCTCCATTTCTTTCTCCACAGTAAAACCTGATTCTCCCATCTCCTGTGGTTCAACACACAGATGATCCTGTCGATCTCTACGGAGCCCTATTGTCTCCTGAGTTGTTCAGAAAGTACTTGTGGATTCTCTTAACTAAATCATCCAAAGCTATCTCATATCCCCTTTTTACCCTCCTGATTTCCGTCATAAGAATGCTCCTACACTCCTTATACTCTTCAAGAGATTCACTCAATCCCATGTTGTCTATACCTAATATATGACTCCTTCATATTCTTGACCAGAGCCTCAATATCTTTATTCATCCATCATTCCTTACTCTTAACAGCCTTACCCTTCACTCTAACAGGAACATAATCTCTCTGAACTCTTGTTATCTCACTTTTGAAAGCCTCCCACTTGCCACTCGTACTTTTACCTGCAAAGTCAACTCCAGTCAACTTTTGAAAGTCTTTGTCTATTCCAAATAAGAACCTTAACTTCAATACAACATAGACTAGATAGAATCCCTACAGTGTGGAAACAGGCCACTTGCCCCGACAAGTCCTCATCAACTCTCTGAAGAACATCCAACCCAGATTCACTCCCCTACCCTGTAACCCTGCATTTCCCATGGCTAATCCACGTAATTTCACATCCCTGGACATTATGAGCAATTTAGCATGACCAATCCACCTCACCACTAAACACGTTTGGACTGTGGGAGGAAGCTGGAGTACCCGGAAGAACCCACACAGACACAGGGAGAATGTGCAAACTCCACACAGACAATCACCCGAGGCTGGAATCAAACCCGGATCTCTGGCACTGTGAGGCAATAGTGCCAACCACTGAGCCACCGCGCCGCCCACAGGCCCATCCTTTTCCATAACTATTTTAAAACAATTAGAATTATGATCACTCATCCCAAAGTGCTCTCTCACTGACACTTCAGTCACTTGCCCTGCCTTATTTTCCAAGAGAAGGTCAAGTTTTACTCCTTCTCTAGTAGGAACATCTACATATTGATCAAGACAATTTTCTGAATGCATTTAACAATTTTCCCAAGCCCTTAACACTATGGCGGTCACAGTCAATATTTGGGAAGTTAAATCCACTACTGTTACAACCCTATTATTCTTGCATATATCTGAGATCTCTCTACATATTTGATCCTCAATTTCCCTGTGTTGAGGGGCCTATAGGACAATCCCATCAAAGTGATTATTCACTTCTTACGATGCCCTTGTAGACGGTGTACAGGCTTTAGGGAGTCAGGAATTAAGTTTGTTGCATAATTACTAGCTTCTGAGCTGGACTTATACCCACAGTATTTCCATGGATAGTCCACTGCAGTTTCTGGTTAGTGGTAACCCTGGGATGTTGATAGGTGGGGATTCGGTAATTCTAATTGCATTGTAATGTTAAGATGTGATCAGTTAGCTTCGCACATACAGGAAGGAGACAGCCCACTGAAAATGAGACACAGCCTGAGGGAATATATTGTTCAGGGAATTTGGAGGCAAGATGGAATTTGGTGCAGAGGGGAAGCTTTTTGCTTTGTTACTTCAGGCTATGTAAGATTTTTCCCACAATATAAACTGAAGACCAGGATCAGGGGCCCAGCACAAAAGAGTGACATCAAAGGTAAACTGTAAGCTCATTGGTTAGTGATGACTGTGCATCTGACTATCTATTATAAGTTGCTTTCATATTGAAGATAAACAGGGGAAATATTTACAGGCTACAAATCAAAAGACAAATATGAAATTTTGAAACATCAAATTAAGAACTATGTAATTAAAATGGAGATGGGGCCAGGCGATGTGTTGTACCTGCACGATGTGGGAGCTGGTGGACGCTATTGTGGTTCCAAGTGACCACATCTGTAGTAACTGTTGGTTGCTTGAGGAACTCTGGCTCAAAGTTGATGAGCTGCAGTCTGAGCTAAGAACACTGTGACACATCAGGGCTGGGGAGAGTTACCTGGATGCTATATTTCAGGAGACAGTCACATCACTTAGATTAACTTCCTCGAATTTTGTCAGGCATGGAACGGTTTGACTATGTATCAGGGAGGTCGAGGGATCCAGGAGGTAGTGCTGAAGGAGCGTCAGCCCTTTAGCATGTTTAACAGATTTGAGATTCATGCTCCCAATGTGGATGAGAGTGTGAGCAGCTGGGAAGATGGGCAAATTGACCATTGCATCGTGGAACAGGGAGCTATTCGAGAGCAGGGAGAAAACAGAAATGTTGTTGTAATCGGGGGTAGTATAGTCAGGAGATTAGACACTGTTCTCTGTGGCCAGGATCGAGAGGCCTGAAGCCTGCAATGCCTGCCTGGTATATAGGTTCAGGATATCTCATCTGGGCTGCAGAGGAACTTGGAGTGAAGGGAAAGATCCAATTGTTGTGGTTCACATAGGTACCAAACATACAGATAGAAACAGGAAAGAAGTTCTGCTGAGGGAATATGAACAGTTAGGGGCTAAATTAGAAAGCAGAACCCTGAGCCATCAGCAAATTGGCACAAGGTCAACAAAATTAAAGAGGTAAAGCATGGCTGAAATACTGGTGTGGGAGAAACAGGTTAGAATTCATGGGACAGTGGCATCAGTACTGGGGAAGCAGGGAGCTGTTCCAATGGGACGGGCTCCACCTGAATCATGCTGGGACCAGAGTCCTGGTGAACCACATAACTAGAGCTGTGGATACAGCTTCAAACTAAATAGTGGGGGGATTGGTTCAGTTCCATGGAAAATTATGGACAAAGTTAAAGGGGGGAGGGCTGAGCAGAGGCTAATGTTTCCAGAAAAACTAATAGGACAGAGAGTATGGAACAGGTCAGGAATCTAATTTCAGGCACAGAAGAAAAGCGACAGTCTTGGGGAGGGCTTGGAATTCAATTCAATTTATGAAACGAGGTAATTGAGCTTGTAGCACAGATTGAAATTGACAGATACAATGTTGTGGGTATCACAAAGACCATGGCTGGAAGAAAATCAGGGCTAGGAACTAAATATTAAAGGAGACACATCCTATCATAAAGATGGGTTGCTTGTTAGTAAGAAATGAAATTAAATCAATACCAAGAAGTGACATCGAGTCAGAAGGTGTAGAATTTGTGTGAGTAGAGTTGAGGAACTGCAAAGGAAAACATACACTGATGGGAGATAACAAGGTGTGGAGCTGGATGAACAC